ATAAAACATTTGTATGTTTTAAGTTATTTTGCTCTGTGTGAAAGACAGATATTAACTGGTTGGACTGGAGAGTGGAAATCTGGTTTGATCAAATATGAAGAATAAATAATTACATGAGCTGAAACTATCTAAATAGTATAATATTTTTGAATAAAATAGTCTTTTAAAAAAGAAATCAGTCTAACATATAAACATTTGTATGTTTTAAGTTATTTTGTTCTGTGCAAAAGACAGATATTTGCTGCTTGGACTGGAGAGTGTGGAAAGCTGGTTTAACCAAAGCTGAAGATCCAGAAGACCAAACAGGAGCTGTCCATTTGTGTAGTCTTAAAGACATTTAACCATGAAATGTTCAGTTTGTGATGTTTATATGACATACACCCAGCCCCTCGGACACTTAGGTAGTTTACAAAATTTATGTAGAGTAAAAAATAAATAAATAAAAAACTTGTTGGACTGATTTGGCATGATGTCCTGAGACATTGCGGCTGATAGGAGTCATAAAACAACAGGGGGACATTAGATGACCTGACACCCCTCTACATAAATGTGTTTAATGAGTGAAGGAAAATATGAGCACCAAGCAACAACCCTGGGTTCTCCCCTGAGAACCAGACCAAACATTTTATGCGCAACCCTGATTATTTCTGTGCGACTGATATTTGAAAAAAAACTTTTAAAAAGTTCAGTTGAAGCTGTACTTCCTGTTTCTGACTTACTTGAGCAGCGAGTACATGTCCAGCAGGTTGTTCTGGATGGGTGTACCTGTGACAGCCCAGCGAGCGCAGGCCCTCAGCTGACACACCGCCAAGGACGTCTGCACTTTGGGATTCTTGATGTTGTGGGCTTCATCCAGAACCACGCGGGCCCAGGCTACACGCAGAAGAGGAGCTGAGCGTGACGACTGCAAAAGTGTGACACGGGTATGTGCTTCATTAGTTTCAATAAATATGATTTATTGTTTGATCTGTTCAGTCTGACTACATGATTCTGCTTTCTGTATTTACCACATGATCCGGTTCTTTGCTGGGATTATGGGCCTCCTCCTTCTGGACAGGGATCTCCTTCGACACCAAACTATACGTGGTCACCACCACATCATAATCTGCCAGCCTGACGGACAAACACATGTTACTAATAAGCAGCCAAAAGACAGAGAGATTTATATTTCAAAAAAAATGTGAACAGGGAAAGAAATCACTGCCCACCCATCTACCCAAAATATTTATACTTGTGTGTCTTTGTGTGTGTGTTTGTCTCACACTCGGGGACTTTTCTGGCGATTGGCACCATGGTACAGATACACAGTCAGCTCTCCTCTCTTCACATGTCTGTCGATCTCGTTCTTCCAGTGGTGAATCAGAGAAGCGGGACAGATGATCAGAGTGCTCTTAGAGGCAACAATGCTAGAGTCTGGATGACAAACAAACACAAAAACATTGAATGGTAAATGGATTGCACTTATAGCGCCTTTCTACCCAACCACGATACTCAAAGCGCTTCACACTACAATCTGTGTCCTCATTTATCCATTCACACGACACTCTATTAGGTCTCTACAAAGCTAACATGTACAATCATCTATGGAGACTAATCAGTGCCAATCACATTCATACACTGATGGGACACACATCAGAGGCATTGGGGTTAAGTATCCTGCCCAAAGAAAGACACAACAACTGAGACAGCTGGACGGGAGATCGAACCAGTGACCATCCGGTTCCAGGATGACTCCCCAAACCACTCTGCCACAGCTGCCCCAAAGAAACACTGTGTAACAATGAGCAGCATAACTGGGCTCGCTTGGCTGTATTTTCTGTGAAAAGAAAAAAATAAATAAAATAAAGTGTTCTTTATACCAGTTTTAGACAACCAGGTCTCCATCTTCTCTTTTTCCTTCTTCTCCTTTTCTTTCCTTTCAGCTTTCTTCTTTGCCAGTATAAGAGCGATCATGGTCAGGGTTTTTCCCAAACCCATGTCGTCCGCTGAATCCAAAAATAAGTTTGAAAGTTTGAAAAAAAAGATGGAAAATAAACACAATTAAAGAGATAAAATAAAATTTACCCAGAATTCCTCCACAGGGGTTCTGTGCTTCCCTCCACAGCAGCCAGGCCAACGCTCTCCTCTGATGGGCCAACAGAGGCACCTAAGCAGCCAAAACCAGAAAAAAAACTGTGAAACTGAAGGCCCCCCAAAAAATGGAGATCACAAAAGGCAAAAAAGATTCATGACAATAACAGCCAACAGCACAGAAATCCAAAGATGATGCTAAATACTTGATTTTTAATCATGCTAATCCTAAATCTTCTGCTGGACATGTTCACTTATTGTTTTGATGATGTGCAGCTGAAGTTACACAGGAGGTTTATTGAGGTCCCAAACTGAGGTCAATGCAAATATCCAGAAATGAAGGACAACTGAGTGACACTTTGCCAGAACTGAATAAGTGTTTTTAGGTTTTATTGGTGGCAGACTGAAGATAAACGAGTAGATCGATGGAATGTGAAACCTTGATGAAGCTTGGGTCAGGGGCCTCGGCCTCAGGGGCGGGACAGGACTCCAGAGATTTGTGAAGATGGTCGATGGCTTCACATGTGGCGTTCTTCACCTCCAGAAGGCGATCGGACGTCATCCTACCACCGTAATAGCTGTGCATCTGTGGATCTACCAGAAATACACAGAACGTGTTGTAAAAAAACAATCAGACATGACAAACAGAATGGACAAAAGAAAAAAAAACATTTCTCGTTTTCTTTACCTCCAAACATCTGGGTGTATCCCTGGCTTGACTGAAGACCCAGAGAGCTGCCAGAGGCTTGGTGTTGGTGTACTGGAGGGGAGGGGAGCAGGATGGTCCCACCCTGCCGGCTGAACGGGTTGAGATGGGGATTCCTGACGCCGACTTTAACGCTGTCAGACTCACCTACACACTCTGAAATACGTACAATATAGTAACAGTGATCACATTTAATCCAGGGTTCCTACAGTTTAAGGCAAGTTAAATTTAAGACTTTTTAATGCCAAGTGAAATCAAATTTAAGACCAATTTCACAATAAACACAAACGACAAAAAGAACTAAAACTGTGGCAGAAACTCATAAATCAAATATTGCTAATAGACCAATTGTTTTTATCCATATCTGACTGCTATTTTGTCAAATATAGCAAAAAAAAACATTCTTAGCAGTCAGTTTTAAACTTAATTTAATTTCTGGAAATCCTTTATTGACCCAAAAATTGGAGTTTTATGACCCACAGTGAACCCCAGCTTGCTGTTGATGAAAGCTTCAAGTGCATGTGACATCAAATTTTTGTAAGAAATATGAATGCATTTTTGGAAAGACAACATTATTAACATTTTAGAAAATAAATTTCAAATTTCTCAGATGGACGGTTGTTGAGGTATTTGAATGTAAAATAACAGGAAGTGATGTCAAACGGGAACATCTGAGTGGGAATATTTCAAAAATAAATAAATGTTACCAATTATTTTAATGTTTGATACGAATTACAGTCATCCTACTTACAATGTGTTAACATTTCTCAGACCTCTGAAGATTGATTTAAGACCTTTTAAGGCTAATTAAGGCCTTATTTTTGGATTGATGAATTTAAGGCTTTTTAAGACTTTTTAAGGATCTGCGGGAACCCTGTTAATCCAACAATCCCACCAAATTAATCAAGGCATAAGAAGATGGTCTCATATTTTTGATTTATGACTTTTTGTTTAGTCATTACTGTCGGCTTAAGATTTACTTCAGCCACATTACACGGTCCAAACTGAGAACGGTGTTGCTACAACTAAGTTACAAAGCAGTAAAATTATATAAAATTCTACACAATATGCTTTCACTGGTGCATCCTAACTCTTACCGGACGGAGCAGCAGCAGAGAGACTCAGAGAATCCAGCGCATCTTCCAGCTCTTTAACCTGCGTCTTTAACCTCTCTCCTTTATCTGGCAGAGCTTCCACATTCACCGAAGACAATGTGGCCTTATCAGACAAACAGATGCAGAGACAAAAATGAATAAACTGTCATGAATCATGTCAAGCCATCACCAAGTAAATCCTTCATTCCTCGCACCTGGGTCTTAGTAATCAACGTCATGACACTCACCTGCTTCACTCAGTATTTAAGCTCCTCTCACTCACTGCTTCAGCGCCAGATCTGTGAACGACTCATGTCTAGTAATAATCCAGCACTCATGTCACGTCTTGTCCTCCTGGTTACGATCCTGTTTCTGTGCCTCGGTTCTTCGTCTCTCGCCTCAGCCCTCAACGGTACCTTCTGGTTTTCGGATTACCTGGTAACGACCTCAGCTTTTGTTTTTGGACCACTGCCTCTTGCTTCTGCCCTCCTTGATTCTGTTCTGCCATCGGACCCACGGCCATCGACCCACGCCAGCCTTCCTCGACCAAGAGATAAGTTTACCGTTCCTAACAAAATCCTGCTTTCTGACCTCAAGTGCATGACTCGTTTCTGTGACCYGGATTAYCCCTTACCTGCCAAACTCCATCGGGAGCGCTCACGTAAACACGGAAGTGGAATCAAGTCCCGGAAGCAACACACTCTCAGAAGGTTAGTGAGCTGTTTCAAAATAAGAGTCACTCCTACTCCATGGCCAGCTGCTAACCTTATTTTCTTGTGTGTAGATATCCTGCTTCCGGTGAAGCTCAGTTCCCGAGCCAGCGCCTCCTTTATTAATAAACTTTTAAAAACATCACCTGTGTTGAACGTTTCAGTGAGACTCATTCCACCATTTATTACATAAACAGGAAAAAATATTCAAGGGGAAAGTTCAGATTCAATGCTTCGCAAGTCAGAGCACTGAGGTTGCCACCACAGCGAGCTGACATTAGACAGCATAAAATGGTTTTAAAGCTTTTAATTTTACAGATATTGAGCTAATACTTGGTGTAGTAGTAGCTGGGAGTCATCCTAAACACATACTGTGAGCACTACAGGTTGAGAGAGTTATTTAAAACTTTGGTGAGTAATACTCGTTCTTTAAAGGAATGCCAGTTTAATTTATTGATTTCATGATCTGTGCAAATAAAAACAGCAGAATACGGCAAAACTGAAGTCTACAGACCAAACTGACTCTTATTCATTGATTTAAGTATCTGCTTGCTGAAAGTAACAAGATAAATGCAGAATCTGATTTACTTTTTTAAAAGGATATGTGAAAGTGTGATCATGTGCAGATACATTGTGTACTTCTTGCATCACAAATACTGACAGCTTTAATGAACATGAAGCATCACCATACCGTGGTGATATATCTTTCCCATATCTTTCCCACTAAATTGGTCATGTGACTAGGACATAAGGGGGTCCAGGGACTCCAGGGGATTAATCGTCAAATTAATCGTTATCGGCTAAATACCACAATTAATCGTGATTAATTTTTTTTGCCAATATCGCCCAACCCTGCCCAGTAGGGTCTTCAAAGGCAGACTAGTCTCTGTTGGCAGGCGGGACCAAGAGTGATTCACTCGTACAGATAAAAGACAGCAAGGACATCAATGTTCCTCGTCTGGACTTGGGTTACAAAAGCCCCACCCTGATGCCAGGCCTGGAGGAAGGGTTGTCAGAAAGTGACTGACCCATGGGGTACAGCCGCAGCCCGAATGACCTACGTGGGTTTGCCTACCTGTGGACTCACCACCTGTAAGAGGGGCCATGAAGTTTGAGAGAATAGTACCGTGAGCAGCAGCTGAAGGCAGAAGCCTTGGTGCTATGACCCTAGCTTAAAGTTGTTGGGACGTGGAAGGCCACTTCTCTGGTGGGGAAGGAGTCTGAGCTTGAGAATTACTGAGTAATAATTGGACTCAGTCAACGTCACACAGGTGTGTCAACACCATGTGGACATTAATGCTGCGTTCCAGTAGTCCTGGGAAGTGGTAATTTCCCAGTTCCCATTGGTAGATTTAAACTGGAACGTCCCCTCCAGTGGTAATATTCCACTCGTTTAGTGGAAGAAATGAAACTGCCCCCAGTTTCGATTTCAAGATGGCGGCTACTCGCAGCTTTAGAAAGTTAAATCTGTAACTTTTACTGTTAATTACCTTTCTTAATTTTGTTTGTGCATGTATAATCACTCACACAAGTAGTGTGTTTTCTGTGCAATATTGTACTTAATAAAATCAATGTTTATTTGCATGACATATGTAGTAGAGCTCTCTTTTTGTCGTTATTTATACTGTAGCAGTGTTGTAGCTAGGTTAGCGGCAGCAATACCATTCCAGTTATTCCAGTAAACTGCATTCAGTTTCATATGGTTTGTTGGGAAATGACGTCACTACTATTTACCAGTTCCGGGAATACGATGTAAATGGAACACAGCATAAATGCAGTGACTGGACTGGCAGACTGTGGTGGTGGTTCCCCTTTTCAAAAAGGCTATGTTCTAAATAATCCCACTCCTCTGCCTCACTGACAAGATCTTTTCAGGGATGCAGGAGATGAGAGTCGATGATGGTCGAACTTTGAATTCAGGAGGAACAAAGTGGGTTCCAAGCGGTTTGTGGAACACTGGAGCAGCTCTTCTATCCTTGTTAGGGTCCTTTGGGAGGAGCGTATGCGTTTAAATGTCTTTTGTGAACTTGGAGAAGACACATAACCATGTTCCTCGAGGTACACCATGGGAGTTACTCCGTGAGTTCGGGATTGGACATTCGTTGCTCTGTGCTATTCCAGGGCTGGGCAATCCTGGTCCTCGAGGGCCGCAGCCCTGCATATTTTACTTGTTTCTCTTCTTCTTGGGTTTAATGGCGAACGCCATCAACCATGCTGGAGTGTGGGCCAGAGTATTTTTATTTTCTATCTAAAGTAAATTCTTCTATATAGTCCCATTTCCTTTAAAAATGTAATAACTGCTTTATTTATTTTATTATGTTTAAATAATTACTTATTCAGTCTTAATGCCTCAACAACATATAACCTTACTTCTTGGTTTTTTTTCTCTACTTAACCTGTACTTCACACAATGAATTAATACATGCTCCACTGTCTCTATATACATTCCAGTCACATCTACCTGCTGGACGCTAACCTACCAAATGTAAAGTTTTATTTAATCCTGTATGTCTGATCCTTAATCTTATCATCACTGCTTGCTTATTTCGTTTTCCTCCAATTACTTCCATACTCCCTACTTTATTTTGTATATAAAACAAATGACGACCTTTAGTCTCCCCCTCCCACAAGTGCTGCCATTCAGATTTAACTTTCTTAATAACAGACTTTATTTCAGATTAACAATATGTTATTTCCATAATTCAATCATGTTAAAAGGCATCTTAGCTAACTGATCTGCTTCATTCTACTTGTTTCTCTGCTCCAAAACACCTGATTTAAAAGAATGGATAATTATCAGTATGGATGACTAAGACTAAAACTGACATAATTAGACATAAAAGCAGAAATATAAATGGACCAATAAATAAATAAATAAATAAATACACTTAAAAAGCACCAATTAAATTTAAAAAGAGAGCTTTAGCTCATGTTTCATAATTTGATTGACCTTCATATTTATTTTTCCAGCTTAGTTCCAACAAATTATATATTTTAGCACATAATTTACATTTTACTGTTTTTTTATAAAAATAATTATATTTTAAATACATTTCTCCTTTTTGAATTACATTGATACATTTTAAGTGTATTTATTTGGTTCATTTATATATTTCTGCTTTTATTTGTAATTGTGTCTGTTTGGGTCAACCATACAGCAGAACATGGAAGACGTAATTCAATGTCTGAATCAGGTGTGTGGGAGAGGTGAAAAAGTCAAACAGAGGGCTGCGAGGTCAGTGTATCTTTTGGTCATTGGACAAACGGGTATTAAAAAACATGAAACAAGTGGTTATTTGATTTTTGTTTTAAAATACTGAAATTAAAATTAAAATACAAAGCATTTCTCATTCTTAGTGTCAAAAAGGGATGAATGAAATTTTCAAAATGATTTGAGTTTCATTTTCTGTTTCAGATAGCAAAAGGGAAAATTACTTTAAAACAAACGAAAGAAAGGCTCGTTTGTTATTTTATGACTATCTATTCCCCCACCAGAAGGGGCCTGGAAGCTCTGCATAATAAAACACAAATTTCTGTGAATAAAAGGCTGAAACACAGAGAAGTATGTCCATAAATGAGTTGTATGATGACTGTCGTTCTGTGACCAAAGGCTTTGCAGAGGTAATTCATGTGGCTTTTGGCCAAATAAATGTCTTTTACTGAATACACGTCAGCTACTGCCTCCACTTCTCTCAATAAAAAGCAAAATACAACAACTTTCATTTCATTAGTGTGTTGTAAAGTTGTTGTTCTGTGAGCAGAAATGTTTTCTTTTCCCTCCTGAGTTTTGTCAGTTCACGTCCTTGGAGTTTTCCTTTCAACGAGAGGTGGGCGGTACTATGACTTTGATATCGATCTAATACCAAATAAATACATGGCAAATATATTTGATACCAAAGTCAACATCACTGCTTTTTACTTGTAATGGGATGTTTATTGAATAACTTTGATATTGCAGACACCCCTTCTGGTGGTGAAACAGTTTGCTGTAGGGATACAGTAAGTTGGCATGACCTGTCATGGATTATGAACAAACAAGCCTTTTTTCATTTGTTTTAAAGTAATTTTCTTTTATGCTATCAAATGAAACTAAAATCATTTAAAAAATTTTATTCATCCCTTTTTGATGCTAAGAATGAGAAACACTTTGTATTTTAATTTTAATTTCAGTATTTTAAAACAAATATCAAATATCCACTCGTTTCTTGTTTTTTAAAACCCGTTTCTAAAACGAAAATCCAATGACCAAAAGACACACTGACCCTGCGGCACTCCAGGACCAGGACTGCCCACACCTGGGCTGTTCAGTCCCCAAGTGTGAGAGTCTGGATGGCATTGCAGGCAGTGGGTTGAACCCTCACTGACTCTGTTCAAAACGTTTATGAACAGAATTTTTTGGTGCAGTCAGTGGGAAGAAGGGGTACAGTTTGGTGATCTCAGGATTCAGTATCTATTTGCAGTCCTGAGTCCTTTTGGTGTGGATGATTTTATGAAAATCCATCCAGCGGACTGCAGCAGGAATATGTTTAATGACTACAAATATTTATTCAGAGTTCACCACTTTGTTATGATTATGATTAGGGCTGTGTATTGGCAAGAATTTGGCGATACGATACATATCATGACAGATGGGGGTCACGATACAGTATATCCCGATATATCCCGATATATTTCGATACTGTAAACAAGGCGATATATTGCGATATTTTTGGTCCAAAAATTCTATTAAATAAAAACCTCTTACTGGAAAAAAAAAGAAAAGAAAAACCATTCAGCTATCGGAGCATGAAGCTAATGTTTACTTACAATGCTAATGCTCTCTTACTCTCTGGCGCTCGAGGTAGAGGAGCCAAATGGCTGACTCACTGCTGCCAACTAGTGGTCAGAGGCTGAACTACAACATAAAATGAACGGCTGGCAGGAAAGTTGACATTTTAAACCTTAATAAAAAATCGATACAGGGCTTTAGAATATCGATACAGTATCGGGAAATGAAATATCACGATATTTCAGTGTATTGATATTTTCTTACAGCCCTAATAACGATCAAATACAACATCAGATACATCAAATACAGTTAGTCAGGCTCTAAGGGTTCACTGATAGTTTTTTAACTCACCTTTTTCTGTTTGAGCTGTGCACTGAGCAGATTATGCATCCCTTTAGGATCTCCCACCTGAGCAGCTGACTTGAACCCAGGGAAGCTGGTTATGGTCCTTTGGGCAGCAGAAACCGGGGGAGTTTTCTGAGTTGCAGGTTTTACTGACACCAACACAACATCGTCATCCTCATCTTCTTTGTAGGTCTCTATTTGTTTGGACTTCCTTTCTGATGAAACACAATCAGCGTCTCTGGATGCCTGGACACTTCTGCAGGGTTCAGATCTCACTGAACTCTCCTGAGGCTTTGGTTTGCTCTGAATCTCTAAACTGGTTTCACCACCGGCTGGTTTTTGCAGCACACCTGTTTGAAGATCAGGGGAGGTTTGACTTGTTTTCGTCAAGTGATCAACCTTGATGCTGGGCATCAAAATGTATTTTGGGGTTTCTTCCTGCTCTGCAGACTTCTCCCTAGCCTTGTCTTGGATTTTAGAAGTTGTTTTAGCATCACTGTCTGGTTTTGAAGTGCTGCTGTCATCATTTGAAATCCTCTTCTTTAACTTCATTCCCAGTGGAAGAGGTTTACCTTGATAAGTATCAGGTGTATTCACCTTTCCTTCCTCTTTGTTTCCAACTCCTGCAGCCTCCACATTTTCTTTGTAGCAGCTTTCTCTTCCTGCAGCTTTATGGGTCATCTCACTGATTTTCTTCTGCTTATCTTTCTCTTCCGATCCACCACTCTGCATTTTCCTCCATTCTGAGTCTGTGGCCATCTTGTTGGGGACCTTAAAGGGGTTTTTAACTGGAGGAAGGCAGGGAGGCTGTAGCTGTGTGTCAGACAGAGGGCTTCTCTTTTCTTTTTCCACCTGCAATTATTCAAGGCAACATGCGTTACCAAAACACGTCAGTAAATTTAAGATCAAATAAACACATTACTGTAGTATGTGCACTTGTTTGTCTGCTGTGTTTGCAAAATATCTCACAAAACACTGGATGGGTTTTATTGAAATTCTTGAGTAACTAATCAATGGATGTAATGGTCTACAACAGCGGTCTGCAACCTGTGGCTCTGGGGCCATTTGTGGCCCCTGAACTGATTTTGTGTGGCCCGTGACTTCAGTTCAAGAATTATACTAATTTGTTAAAAAAAATTGTCCCCCTGGCACAAGTGTTTGAAGTAGATGGAGACTTTCTATTTATTATTAGGGCAAATTTATCACAAAGTAAAATTTTGTAATAAAAATATTGGCAACAACACCAATTATTTGTCTTTAAATAACCAGACTCGTAGCTTTTTCCACATCTATCTAGTGACTTCTACTCAAAAGCTGATTTTGCTTCTCTCTAATCTGCTTTTAATAAATTTATTAAATTTGCAAAAAGCATTTTCAATGAAAGAGTGACCTAAATCCTGATTTTATTGATCAGAATTTACTAAATTGGGTTATTTATTCCCCCAATTGAAACCTAGAATATTGCTAAATGTCTTTCAGTAAGGGAAACCTGTAAAACAATTTTAAAGTTCTGGATCTAGATTAATTTAAGCATCTATTTCCAGCAATAAATCTGACAACTTTATTTGTTTAATTAAAGTATTTAATGCTTAGTTTATTGTTGAGCAGGTAAAGGAAAAATATTTTTGACTCTCAAGTCCTTCTGACTTTATGATTTTGGCCCACGTGACAAAATGTTTGGACACCCCTGGCCTACAACTTTTAGAGTCAGCATTAATAAGGCTGCTACGACTAATGGACCTTAGCAAACACAAGAACGACTCTCAGTTGCTAAAATTTGGAGCAGTAGAAGCAAAAAGTCATGCCCGACTTACACTCGGAGCATAAGATTGTGCAGTTTGCAGATATTTTGACTAAAGCAGCAGTAACTCGGCCATTTCTAAATATATGGAGATCTTAGTCTAAAGCTCTGGTATGCAAGGAGGTGGGCAAAATGCAGTTTTTAAGACATACGGGTACCATATTTATTCATGTATAATACGACCTTGAGTATAATATGATCATCACTTTTTAGCTTAAAAAACATAAAAAAATCTAATCATCAATAACCCGTGTATAATACTAATCCCCTACTTTATGGATGATTTTTAGGGTTAAATTTCTAATATTATACATGAATAAATACAGTATTTGCTCTCTTTCTCCAATTATTTTACAACAGTTAAATAGAAATTATTTGTGATGAAGAACTAACGAGTTCCTGACTAAGTGATGGGCAGTGAGGTCTGTGAAAAACCTTACAGCAGTCCATGGCACGCTTCCACACCATCTCTGCCCTGCTTTTTTACCAACACAACATCTGTAGTACAGCCTGAAAAAGAGTCACAAATGCATAGTTTTAATTACTGAAGGTGTCACAAGGAAACACTTCCTACTTCGTATCCCATCAATCCTCCTGCACACACCTGTGGACCTGTTGTTGCTGACTGTAGCTGAGAGCCTGAAGCTCCACCACGGAGTCTTCGTGGAGAAGGCAGTGGGACGGTGACATACTAGACAATAATAAGATATTGAAATTTCAGATTAAAATAAACACATTACTCTGCAGTTGATTTAAGCGTTATACCATTCATCATCAGTTTTAGCTGCAGCTCAGACACTTCTTCTACATTTGCACTTAACTGTTATAAGCTTTTTTAGAAACAGGAGAGGTATTCTAACATGTGCAGGTGTTAGACATTGTTTGTATTACAAGCAGAGTTGTATAAAGTACCACAAAGTGAAACTTGAGTAAAAGTACAAGTATCTTACCAAAAAATTACTTTGGTAAAAGTTAAAGTCTCCTTTAGGAATATTACTTGAGTAAAAGTCTTAAAGTATCTGATATTTTTTGTACTTAAGTATTAAAGTAAAAGTATTGATTTAAAATGAGCAGTTAGATTTTCTGTAAGGACATTTATTAGGAGGTGACCTCCCCAAAAACTGCAGAAATGACTGTTGTATTAATATAATTAGTTGATGTTAAATTTAGGATGCACTAGTCCAGCTGTTTCAGTTTATATACATATATCAAGGCTGCACAAAGCTTTTCCCCAAAATGAAAATCTATCTGCAATAATATAATTCATGAAATACAAATATTTCTTAAGTACAGTACTTTTATTTTGATGATTATGTCCTGCTGGAGTGTGACATGATTTGTTTGTGTACAAAATAATAAACACTATCAGAGTTTTATATATTTATAATTCTCATTCAACCACA